ATATTCCATCAATACCATTGGTTCTTGATCATATACCACCTCCTGATATGGATGAAGACTGACCAGGTCTTTTTTGTGCAGTGACTCTCTGCATTCCTTCCATTTTCTAGTGATGATTCCTGCATCATTCAATGTTTTGCCCATGGACTCTTTCAATATTGCAACTTGAGGCTTAAATTTTTTCCTCAGTTCTTTCAGTTTGAGAAATGCCAAGTGTATCCTTCCCTTTTGGTTTTCTAACTCCAGATCTTTGCACATTTCATTATAGTAATTTGCTTTGTCTGCTCGAGCTGTTGTTTGAAATCTTCTGTTCAGCTCTTTTATCTTGTAATTTCTCCCATTTGCTTTAGCTACTCTTTGCTCAAGGGCAAGTTTCAGAGTCTCTTCTGACATCCATTTTGGTCTTTTCTTTCTTTCTCATCTTTTTAATGACCTCTTGCTTTCTTCATGGATGATGCTCTTGATGTCATCCCACAATTCTTCTGGTTTTCGGTCACTGGTGTTCAATGCATCAAATCTCGTCTTTAGGTGGTCTCTAAATTCAGGAGGGACATATTCAAAGTCATATTTTAGCTCTTGCGGACTTGTTTTAATTGTCTTCAACTTCAAGTTGAACTTGCATTTGAGTAGTTGATGGTCTGTTCCACAATCAGCTCCTGGCCTGGTTTTGGCTGAAGATACTGAACTTTTCCATCACCTTTTGCCACAGATGTAGTCAATCTGATTCCTGTGTACTACATCTGGTGAAGTCCATGTGTATATCCACCATTTTGCTGGAAAAAGGTATTTGCAATTAATAAGTCATTAGTCTTGCAAAACTCTGTCATGAGATCTCCACTATTATTTCTGTCATCAAGGCCAAATTTTCCAGCTACTGGTGATTCTTCTTTGTTTCCAACTTATGCATTCCGGTCACCAGTGATAATTAACACATCTTGGTTGCACGTTTGGTCAGACTGCAGAAGCTGATAAAAAATCTTCAATTTCCTCATCTTTGATTTTGGTAGTTGGTGCATAAATTTGAATAATAGTCATATTAATTGGTCTTCTTTGTAGACGTATGGATATTATCCTATCACTGCCAAGCATTGTACTTCAGGATAGATCTTGAAACATCCTTTGTGATGATGAATGGCATGCCATTCCCCTTCAAATTGTCATTCCCGGCATAGTAGATCATATGGTTGTCTGATTCAAAATGGCTAAAACCAGTCCACTTCAGCCCACTAATGCCTAGGATATCAATCTTTATGTGTTCCATTTCATTTTTGACAACTTCCAATTTTCCTAGATTTATACTTCAAACATTCCATGTTCTGATTATTAATGGATGTTTGCAGCTGTTTCTCTTCAATTTGAGTTGTGCCACATCAGCAAATGGAGGTCCCAAGAGCTTTACTTTATCCATATCATTAAGGTCAGTTCTACTCTGAGGAGGCAGCTCTTTTCCAGTCATATTTTGAGTGCCTTCTGACCTAAGGGGCTCGTCTTCCTGCACTATGTTGGACAATATTTCTGGGTTATTCATAAAGTTTCTTAGTGATGTATCAGTGTTTCTCTGCTATTCATAAGGTTTTCC